CTCTCTCTCTCTCTCTCTCTCTCTCTCTCTCTCTCTCTCTCTCTCTCACACCTAGGAACATTTTATAATTACCAATCAGTCTAACATGCATGTTTTTGGTCTGAGGAAACCAGAGTACCTAGAGAAAACCCACACATGCATGGAGAGCACATGCAAACTCCACCCAGAAATTTTCCCAGTCTGGATTTGATCTGGTGACTTTATTGCTGAGAGGCAACATCTCTACAAATTGAGCCACAACTCTGCACATAATTGACATAGTTTAATTAAAATGGCTATAACTTTCCTTTTATTTTACAGCATAAAATGACTTGTCTAGATTTCTGGCATGAAAAGCAGCAGGTGATATGCATTATTTTAAGGAATAGTAGATCATTGTGTCATAGATGTACCTGTAAAATGGTGAGCTTCAGATACAACCCACTATAGTTGTGTTCTTGTTTGGTTGATAATTAAGTAGTAATTTTAAGAACACATTTTTAAAAATACTCCAACTTATCCCAGTGTGTATTTGTTGTTGCAGTTCCCACCTCTGCACCTGATGATGTTGCCGTAGAGGTGATGAACGGCTCGGTAGTCAAGGTTACCTGGACACGAGTACACAAGGACAAGCTGCGTGGACATCTGGGAGGCTACAGGGTAATACCTCACAAAACATAGCTTTGCTTTTAGACACAGTTTAAAAGGAATGGCCCTGACCTTCCTCCTAGTGTTTGCTTCTCTCACCCTAGTCTGTCTTTGGTATTGACCAAAGACCATTGTTTTCCTTCTTACACTGTCAAACACACACCAAAAATTTTGCTACCCTTTGCTCAGTGTTCCTGCTTAAAAAAACAAAAAAAAAACATATCTGTGAAATACAAAGTTTATGTCTGTGTGTTCTTCCATCTCCTGATTCAGATAAACTGGTGGCGTCTCCGCAGTCTGGTGGACTTGAAGAAAAGCCACGGAGACAAACACACGTTGACGTTCCCTGGGGATCGAAGTCATGCCACATTGCCGGGACTGGTGCCCTTCTCCGAGTACAGCCTCATTGTCATGACCTTCAATGGGCGGGGAAACAGCCCAGGCAGCCATCCTGTGAACTTCAAAACTCCAGAGGGAGGTAGGACAGTGGAAAAACAGCACCACACATATTGATTCACAACTACTAAAGGGAACATCTAATAATAGCCAAGAAAAGTGGGTTGCTGCTTAATTTGTGTGTTTCTTTCTTTGCCCCTATAGTCCCTGTGAAAAATCCAGTTTTCAGGGTCACAGATGTGCAGAGACACTCAGTCTCACTGGCCTGGGCTCCTCCATTGGAGCCTAATGGGATCCTCACTGGGTATCTCCTTGAGTACCAACTCAGTATGTATCCTTGTGCTTTGTATACATTTTTAATTACTTCAGAAAAAAAAATGAAGATGCCGCAATAACCGTGGCCACAAATCAGTGGCATTTTATATTGCACTGTAGTGGACAGTCTGATGCTGTGTGCAGAGTTTTAAGAAAAAAAGAAAGTGTGTTTTTGGTCTGCTGGGTATTGTTCATGTCGTGATCCTCGACACAGAAAGAAAAACCATTGTGCTGCTCTAATAAGTCTGGTGTCAGGGTGTGAGGAGAGAAAATGAGTCAGAGCGAGCGTATCAGCCTGCATGTCACAATCATGTACAGTGCTGGCTCAGGCCACTTTGTCACAGTCTGCTAAGGTCCGGTTTTATTGACCCAATTATGTCGGCCAGGGATATCTTCAGCATAGCTCACAGCTCATGGGGATATCTTTACCGAATACCTCCTACACATGCACACTCTTTGCTGATCTTAAACAAAAGTCATAACAAAGATAATGACTAATGTCAAAAGTGCCTTGGTTCAGCTTTTTCCAGCTAATTGAGTCTGAGCCGGTCACTGCACTGCAGTGTTTCAGGTAAGGACATTTTTGGTGCATCACAGCAATTAAGCTGATGCATTCTTTGAAGTGAGACTTTTGCAAGGCTTTTTGATGGCAGCCATGTGTAAAATGTTGGAGATAAAGTACCCAGCTGTTGGTGAATCATCAGCGAAACAAGTGGAGTCCAAGCTGTTCACAGGCCTTGCTCATCCTCACAACTGCCTTTGATAGCATCGCATCTTTTTAAGTTGTGAAATCTGCTGTGACATTTTTATATTATTCTCTTTATTTGTGGCTTGCAGGTTTCTGCAGATCAATCATGGCACTCAAGACTGTTGTAGGGCTGTTTGTACTGCTCTGAACAGCAATGCTGTCCCACGTGGGAGTTGAAAGTGACCTTGGCTTCATTTCTTTCAGCATTGCAAAATGTTGGCTTGTTTTATGGTGCCCAAGTCCAACATTATTTGGCCCACTAGACTGAAGACTATTTGGATTGACTGTTGTTTGTAGTGAGTGCAAGAGCCAAAGTCTGCAGCTTTCAGCCTGTTCACTCTATAAGTTTGTGCTCCCAAGCTGTCAGACCCAAAATGTTTCTGAAAAAAAAAAATAGAACATAATGCCTTGATGTGATCAAGCCTTCCTGCTTGTGACTTCCTTTTTCTTCTTTATGTTGACACATTTTTAGTTCACACAGAGAACCTTACGTTTTTTCGAATGCTAACAAATTAAATGACATATAACTTTTTTTACTCTCAACACCCACTGGAACAAAAAAAAAAAAAATCTGTCATTGGAACTCTACACCATGTAGCTGAACATGTCCTCATAAGGTCAGATGGGAAGAATAAAGAACAGATATGTATGTAAAAAGCTCTCAAAACCTGTGGATATACTTGCTGGGCCTTTGTCAAGTCAGTGAGAAAATCCCAACCACGTGTCACATTAAAAAACAGGAAGAAGAACAGACGTAAAAACATTGCCATCTCAAATGTTCCTGAAGTAGCTGAGAAACTCAAAAGGATCTTCTCCAAACAAGACATCCCGGTACATTTCAAATTCAAAAGGACCCTCAGCCAGAGGCTGGTCCGCCCTAAGGACAAACAGCCAAACTCAAACTGAGCAGTGTGGTGGCTGCAGGTCAGTGCAGTGAGGAATATTCAGACCTCTGGAGGGAAGCCATCAATGTCAAGCAAGAAAAAAAAACAACTTTAAACATCCATGGATGGCTCCATCCATCCATCCATTATCTTTACCAACTTCTTCCTTTCGTATAATGGGGGTCACTGGTGCCCATGTCCAGCTATCACTGGACCTGTCCAGCTATCACTGGACCTGTCCAGAGGTGGGGGACACCCTGGACAGGTCTCCAGTCCATCACAGGGACACATAGAGACAAATGAGACAAACAACCATTCACTCTCTCACTCACATCTAGAGACAATTTAGAGTTACCAATCATCCTAACATGCATGGTCTGTGGGAGGACACCAGAGTACACAGAAAATGCATACATGGAGAAAACATACAAACTCCACCCAGAAAGGTCCCAGGCTGGGATTTTTGAACCGGCGACCTTCTCGCTGAGAGGCAAAAGCTGTACCAAATGCGCCACCGTGCCACCCCAATCTCAAATTCCACTTATTTCAAAGCTTACAGTTCAGCACTGAGATTGATACCCTACCAATCAAGTTTCCCTCTAATTCACACCTTTGGGCATGGGACCAAAACATCTCTCTTGTGAGCCAGACAAGCAAAAAGCCTACTACTCTCCATTTTGATAGACCTGTAGTTTAATCTGCTTATGGATCTAATTCACACATTCAAGCATGTGACCAGACATCACTACTGTGACTCAACTTTGTGAAAGGTGTGTAACTTAATCTGCATGTGAATTTAGTTTCTATATCTGAGCTTCGCATACAGTTATAAAAGTGTAGAACTCCACACTTCAGTTTAGAATTGAGAACGCTTCCTGGAATGGAGGCGTTCTCTAGAATAGAAATCCATCCATCCATCCATCCATTATCTTTACCCGCTTATTCCATTTTGGGTCACGGGGGTCGCTGGTGCCCATGTCCAGCAATCACTGTGCGAGGGGCGGGGTTCACCCTGGACAGGTCGCAAGTCCATCACAGGGCCACATAGAGACAAACGAGACAAACAACCATTGACTCTCCCACTCACACCTAGGGACAATTTAGAGTTACCAATTAGCCTAACATGCATGTTTTTGGTCTGTGGGAGGAAACCGGAGTACCTGGAGAAAACCTACGCTTGCACGGAGAGAACATGCAAAATCCACCCAGAAGGCCCCGGGACCGGGGTTTGAACCAAGGACCTGCTCGCTGAGAGGCAGCAGCTCTACCAGTTGTGCCACTGTGCTGCCGAATAGAAATCCAATAGTTTTATTTTTTTAACTTGTTTTTTAAATTTATGTACCATGTTCTTGATGACTGAGATCTACACCGTCATAATGTTCACAACATTCTACCTGTGCCAGCTACATGTATCTCTTGGAGTGGAGATCCATGGTATTGCCAAATTTGTATTTTTGGCACTCTGTATGCTTCTACAATTTATTTTTTTTAATCTTTTACAATACTGATGTTCAAATGCCAATAAATTAACTATATACCAATAAGTACCTAAAAGAAGCATAAACTGATTAGAAAAATGTAAACTTTTATTTTTCAAAGTACTGCTCCTCTCCTTCGATCTTCCATGTGGATTTTATGGGTTTCCATGATGTTTTTGGCATCCAGACAATAACAGAACCACTTCATAAACAAGTTTACAGATGTTTTGACATGATAATTGGCCCAAAAAGCAACAATAATAATAATTATAATTATTACTATCTCTTCTTTCATCTGCTCCTTTCTTTAGGGATTGCCACAACGAAATGACTTATAATAGGACTTGGCAATTGTTTATACGTTGGATACTCGTCCTAACACAACCACATACCACCGAGCTACCACAGCTCCTCTGTGTGGAGCAAAGAGCTGCTATATAGGGCACTCGGAAGGGCAGATGGTGGAGGTTAAGGACCTTGCTCAATGGCCCAGAAAGGGGCAAATTAGGGTTGAGGCAGGTGAGGGTGCTTTACGTTTCCCACCTACATTTTTGATTTTGTCAGTATGACGAGTCGAACCGGCGGCCTTCCAATCATAGGCCCACCTTCTCTAATCTCTGCACTACCACTCCCCCTTAAAAAAAGGCAACTATTTTTTTTTTTCATTTACCCTTTATTTATCCAGGTAGTTTCATTGAGCCACGATAACTCATTTTCAAGAGAGACCTGTTTGGGGAGCAGATGGTGGGGGTTAAGGGCCTTGCTCAGGGGCCCAGAGTGGGGTGAATGAGGGTGGAGGGAGGTGTGGGTGTTTCACCTTTTCCACCCACATTTTGATGTTGATGGTACTGGGAGGTGAACCTACGACTTTCCGATCACAAGCCCATCTTCTAACCTCTGCGCCACCACTCCCCCTAATTGTCCCCCTAAACAATAATATTTGATACTTTATTTCTTAGAAATTTATGGATTTTCATTATGGAAAATACGCAGGAACACAATTTTTAAACAAAAATTCAAAAAGTGATTTTTCCAGATCGGTAGGTAGGACTGGGACAGAACAAGACATAAAACAATTAATTCTTGTCAGCATTTCCATTTCCTTCCACAAGAAATAAAGTACTGCACATCTTTCACAGCAAAGGTCACTTCAACACCTGCTGTTTTTGTTTTGTTACAAAGAACATAAATGCCACTTCCCTACCGAATGACCTGTTTTACGTAGTGAAAAATGAGATCCTGTCACAGCAGAAACAGAAGTGAAACTCCAACAACGAAAATACTTCAGTTGTACATGCAGGACGCAACATTGTTATTAGATTAATATTAATTGCTGTTTAATGTATTACTACAGCACAAAAGTAAGAGATGCACCTTTTTGTCTGACACCTGCAAAGGAAATTGTGCTGAAACTGAAATGTCTTATTTTCAATTGGAAGGACTGAGAATAGTTTTAAGGAATATTTTTATTTTGTATCTACTGTGTACAAAACATATTACTATATGTCTGGTTTGGTCATGGAAAATCAAAAAGAGAGACTTAAACAATGATTGAATCCATAATTCAAAATTAGTCCTGAATGCTTACAAAACCAGAGTTATGTTGTTTTCCCATAATTCTGCAGTAACCATTTCTTCCATTAAAACACTAAATGGTGATATCATAGAGCTTGTAGGCACATACAAATATCTTGGTATTTGGCTGGATAAAGATCTTAATTTTAAACATCACTTTACATATCTAATTAAAAAGATTTTTTTTTTTCTGTTTTCTGTGTAGACTGAAATTATGTTACGGCTTGTAACAAGTTATTTTTATCACAGCTGGACTACGGAGACACAATCTATAGATTTACCTCCCCCGCTAACTGGAGCCCATTTACATGCTGCTCTGGGGTATATAACAGGTTCAACCTTTAGGACGCACCATTGTACTTTATATACCCTTGATGGACTCCACTCAATGTTTGAAGGAAAAACATTAGTATTTTTTAATATACAAAGCCATTTTAGGAAAATTACTATCATATATCTACTTCGAGTTCATTTCACTGCAGAACACACAGGGCCAATAGCTGGCTGCGGTTTAAGGTACCCTTTATGTGCACGGAGTCAGGAAAGATGAATTTGTCCTATTTCAAGGTTTAAGTTCAAGGTTCAAGGTTCTTTATTGTCATTCGCATCACATGTGGTACATGAGGTGGAACGAAATTGTGTATACAGGGTCCCAGTTACATGCAACAATAGCAAAAATATAAATTGTAAAAGAAACAGTACAAAGGATACAATACAATGCAATATAACTTTATTTATAAAGCACTTTAAAAACAACACCATTGGACAAAGTGATGTACACTAACACATTCAAGTAAGCTTAAAAACCATGAAATCAACTGATACCATAAAAGTAATGAACTACCCAATCATAAAACAGCAACCAGTAAAAACAATAAAACAAATAACTGGAAAACAGTAAAACAATCTAATATATATGCTGAAACGTTTTGCCTTTGATCCGGAAGGCTTCATCAGTCAAGGAAACATACAACAAAACTTTCTTCCCCCAACAGCTTACTCCAAAGTGGAACAAACCAGTTCTGCTTGTGATTAGATGGTCTCTTTGGTACGCCCCTCCTCCATTGCCGGCCCTCTTCCTTGTTGACAGTCTTGTCAATCTGGATGAAAACAACAAAGTCCATGCACAATAATCCAGGTATAAAATCCAACATTTTTCTGTTGTTTTCAACCAGTTTGACAAGACTGTCAACAAGGAAATGGGCCGGCAATGGAGGAGGGGCGTACCAAAGAGACCATTCAATCACAAGCAGAACTGGTTTGTTCCACTTTGGAGTAAGCTTTTGGGGGAAGAAAGTTTTGTTGTATGTTTCCTTGACTGATGAAGCCTTCCGGATTGAAGGCGAAACGTTTCAGCACAAAAAAAAAAGAAACTGTCCAGATGACCTGACTGAAAAATGTTGGATTTTATACCTGGATTATTGAGCATGGACTTTGGTGTTTTCAACCAGTTTGACATGACTGTCAACAAGGAAGAGGGCCGGCAATGGAGGAGGGGTGTACCAAAGAGACCATCTTATCACAAGCAGAACTGATTTGTTCCACTTTGGAGTAAGCGGTTGGGGGAAGAATCAGTTTTGTTGTGTGTTTCCTTGACTGATGAAGCCTTCCGGATCGAAGGCGAAACGTTTCAGCACAAAAAAAGAAACTGTCCAGATGACCTGACTGAAAAATGTTGGATTTTATACCTGGAGTATTCAGTATGGACTTTGTTGTTAATCTAAGATAGACGATATAAACCAAGAAATACACTAAACTAAAAAAAGCTAAACACTTAATTGTTCAGGGCAGCACGGTGGCGCAACTGGTAGAGCTGCTGCCTCTCAGCGAGCAGGTCCCTGGTTCAAATCCTGGTCTAGGGGCCTTTCTGGATGGAGTTTGCATGTTCTCTCCATGCATGCGTGGGTTTTCTCCGGGTACTCCAGTTTCCTCCCACAGGCCAAAAACATGCATGTTAGACTGAATGGTAACTCTAAATTGTTCCTAGGTGTGAGTGAGAGAGTGAATGGTTGTTTGTCTCGTTTGTCTCCATGTGTCTCTGTGATGGACTTCTGACCCATCCAGGGTGTACCCCACCCCTCGCACAGTGATTGCTGGACATGTGCACTGGCGACCCCCGTGACCCAAAATGGAAGAAGCGGGTAAAAGATAATGGATGGATGGACTTAATAGTGCAAAACAACACACTGAACAACAGCAACAAAAACAACTCAGGTTGAGTGTGTGTGAGTACGGATGGATACAGCAGCATGAAATAAATCAGCAGCATGAGATCAGCCCATATCAACAATCAAAGTGGCATTACAGTGATTTTTTAAATGTATTTATTTTTTCACTGTGATAATCCTGATTAGGGATTCATGAGTCTAACAGCCTCAGGGTAGAAGCTGTTCTTCAGTCTAGTGGTTCTACACTTTATGCTCCCACCAAATTCTGCCCGAGGGGAGCGGGGCAAAAAGTGTGTGTGCTGGGTGAGTGGGGTCTTTCATGATGCAGGTGGCCCTCTTCCTGCATCTAGAGGTGTAGATGTCTGTGGTGGTGGGGAGGCTGACTCCAATGGTCTTCTTCTTCTTTGGCCGATGGTCTTGGAATGATTTGCAGCTTAAGTTGAGGTTGGAGTATTTTACGTGCTGGCTGATATCTTTAAATCCTCCCTGACCCTGGCAACTGTTCCCATCTGCCTGAAGACCGCCAACATCATCCCAGTACCTAAGAACTCTGTAGTGACTGGTCTGAATGACTATCGGCAAGTAGCCCTCACCCCAATGGTCAGTAAATGCTTTGAAAGAATGGTCAAGGTCCACATCAAAGCTAACATCGACATTAGCGAGGACCCACACCAGTATGCGTACCGCAAGAATCAATCAACATAGAACGCCATCTCCTCTGTGGTCCACACTGCTCTCACCCACCTGGAGCAGAAGGACTCACGTCCGTATGCTCTGTGTGGACTTCACATCTGCCTTTAACACCATCAATCCCCAGACCCTAATGGACAAACTACTCACACTAGGACTAAGCCTCTCTCTGCAACTGGGTCCTGGATTTTTTAACAAACAGACCTCAATCTGTGAGGATCCACAATTTCTCCTCCTCCAAAATAAACCTCAATATTGGCACTGTCATGTTGTAAAGTTTGCAAACGATACAGAGGTGGTTGGATGCATCACAAACAACAATGAATTCAGCTACAGGCAGGAGCTTACAGGTGTGCAATGGAGAGCATCCTGTGCTCCAGCATCAACATGTGGCATGGAGGGTGCACAGCTGCATAAAGAAAAGCTTTGCAGAGAGTGGTGAAGGCTGCACAGAAGACTGTTGGAGTCAGACTCCCCACCATCACAGACATTTACACCTCCAGATGGAGGAAGAGAGTCACCTGCATCATAAATGACCCCACTCACCCAGCGCACACATTTTTTGCACTGCTCCCCTCAGACAGGAGGTTAAGGAGCATTAAGTGCAGAACCACTAGACTGAAGAACAGCTTCTACCCTGAAGCTGTTCTTCAGTCTAGTGATTCATGAATCCCTAATCAGGATAATCACTGTGAAAAAAATATAAAAGAAAAAAAAAATCACTGTAATGCCACTTGATTGTTGATATGTGCTGCTGACTATCTATGCTGCTGATCTCATGCTGCTGATTTATTTCATGCTGCTGTAGTCATTCATACTCATCTGCTCATACAGACTCATGTTTGTGCTGCTGTGTTTGGTGTATTATTTTTGTACTATTAGTGCTTAGTGTATTGTTTAATTTAGTGCTCGCATTAAGCGTGTAAATTATAGCCGAACTGAACCTATGAGAATCATGCTGTTGTTTGGTGTATGGTTTTGCACTATTAGTGACTAGTGAATATCTTAGAACTTTTAGCGTACTGTTTGGCGTTCATTTAGCGTATATCTTTAGTTTATATCTTAGATCCTTATTTACCGTTTCTTTTTACACTTTATATTTATGCTATTATTGGATGTAACTGGGACCCATCCATCCATCCATTATCTTTAACCTGAGGCGGCTGTGGCTGAGTGGTTAGAGCAGTCATTCTCCAATGCAAGAGTTGGGTGTTCGAATCCACCAGCAGCCACATGCTGAAGTGTCCCTGGGCAAGACATTGAACCCCTCATAGCCTCTGATGTGTGTTCCATCGGTGTATGAACATGATCTAAAGCACTGATTAGTCTCATTAGAATGATTTGTTCAATTAGCTTTGTAGAGATGTAGAGTGCTGTATGAATAGGTAAATGAGGACACAGGTTGTAGTGTAAAGTGCTTTGAGTGTCTTGAAATAAGATAGAAAGGCGCTATATAAGTACAGTCCATTTACCATTTACCATTTCTTGGTCATGGGGGTGGCCGGTGCCCATGTCCAGCAATCACTGTGCGAGGGACGGGGTACACCCTGGACAGGTCGCAAGTCCATCACAGGGCCACATAGAGACAAACAACCATTCACTCTCTCACTCACACCTAGGGACAATTTAGAGTTACCAATCAGCCTAACATGTATATTTTTTGGTTTGTGGGAGGAAACCGGAGTACCCGGAGAAAACCCATGCACGGAGAGAACATGCAAACTCCACCCAGAAAGGCCCCTGGACCGGGGTTTGAACCAAGGACCTGCTCGCTGAGAGGCAGCAGCTCTACCAGTTGTGCTACCTTGCTGCCCTAACTGGGACCCTGTGTACACAACTTTGTTCCACCACATGTACCACGTGTGGTGTGAATGACAATAAAAAACCTTGAATCCTTAAGACTGTTGCTATAAATGTAATGGCTTGTTTGCACCTTGCCCAGGGCATCCTTGTAAAAGAGATTAATAATCTCAATGGATTTCTTTCCTGGTAAAATAAAGGTTTAAATAATAAAGGTTTAAATAAAAAAATGTTTTCATTCCTCAAAGTAATAAACCTGTTCATTTGTACTTTTTCTATTAGTCAATGACACAGAGGAGGTGGGGCTCCTGCAGACCGTTGACATCAGCAACCCTGACACCACCAAGTGGGTCCTGCGTGACCTGGAGCCTCTGAGCAAATACAAGTTGTACCTGCGATCCTGCACCATGGTGGGCTGCGGGCCCATTGTAAGCGAGGAATTTACCACCGCTCTGGAAACAAGTGAGTACTGGATGGATTCAGAACACCAGCAAACCCGCATATCTGCTTGGAATTGTGGCTATCAGAGAATGACGCTCGCTGAGAAAGGAAGCAGAACTGTCTGGGCCCGCTTGAAGCTACATAAAGCAGCTGATAGTTGTTTCAGCATCGTAAAAATGGCTTTGAGCTACTGGGGTTCGATATTATCACAAGAAGTCAGGCTTTTTATATCTACATGTCCATAATTTTTGTGGATAAACAGTGTCATTTGGCTGTAGTGGAGGTTTTCATTTGTCACTGCCATCAGAGAACAGAGTGTTTATTGATTGCACAGAGCATGAGAAGCACAAAAACATCAGCCAAGAGAGAACAAGGATTTGAGCAGGAGGGAAAATTAAGATGTAATCACAAAAGAGTCTGTATGTTAGAAATTTGAACGAGTGTAACAAGTAATCTTTTGAAAGTTCACTTGACTCACCATAGATAGCCAGTTTCACCTGAGTGTTTGTAAATGTATTAAAGGGACACACATGGATTGCATAAATACATGTGTTGTGTTTTAAATATAAATACGCTGCCAAGAAACTGAGGGAATTATGCAGAGATTACTCAGTGTTTACTGAAAGGATCCTCGTAACCACAGAAAAATATGTAATTAGCTTTTGGCTGTGATTTATTTATAAGCCACAAAAAGGCAGTGAAAGTGGTTGCAGGTTCAGCTTTTATGTAATTACATGTCATTTTGTTGAGCTTTTCCATATGACAGAGTAACAGAACCACAAAAAAAGAGAAGAGAAATATATATTTTTTTGTTTGATTCCCTGGTTTGACATTAAAGTTGCATTGTCAAGACGAAAGTGGAAATGTTAAAGATAGCAATGTTTTCCCAAAAGAAAGTCACAATGTTGAGTTAAAAGCTGTCTTTCAAACCAGAGAAAGTGAACCTCATTGTGCTCCTGAACCCCAAATTATTTTTATTATTGCATCTATAAGTAATGGCTTATGACAGCACTTTTAAGACTTATATATAAAACCGTATGCAGGATTTTAGTCAAAATAATCTGAGGTGCAGTTTATTACTCCCACTGAAGAACTCAGAACTTTCTTCAGTTCTTCACAATGAGTTACCAACATATAAACTGAGCGTTTACCTCAAAATAGTCTCAACTTCTGAAGCCTTTGTAAATATATCCTGATGCATGCTTAATAATCCAGGTAGAAAAATCCAAAAAAGTTCGAAAACTTTTTTGGACCTTTGTAAATACCTTTTTGTTCTTAATGTAAAACAGATACTGCAGTCTGAACCACCAGGAAGTACAAGACTCTTATTGTGAAGGGCTAAAATGAGTTGTATGGCTTCCCTGCAGGTGGCACGGTGGAACAGTTGGTAGAGCTGTTGCCTTACAGCAAGAGGGTCGCCAGATCAAATCCTGGACAGAAACTTTTTCTGGGTGGAGTTTGCATGTTCTCTCCGTTCATGTGTGGGTTTTCTCCGGGTACTCTGGTTTCCTACTACAGCCCAAAAACATGCACATTCGGCTGATTGGTAACTCTAGAACCTGAAAGGAAGAAGAGTGTAAAGATAATGGATGGACTTTCCTGCAGCAGGAGTAATAAACCACATGTCAGACTGGTTCATACAAAAAGTGTGTTATTTTGTAGTTAACCCAGTAGCCTATAGTTTATCCAGCTAAGTTAAGTCAGGTCCTCTGGACTGTTTCTTGTTGTTGTTGAAACATTTTGTCTTTCATAAGACTGAGTTTGTTGTGACTCTTCGGACTGCTGAAGTCTTTTGGATGAACGACGAAACGTTTCATTAAAAAGAAACCGTCCAGAGGACCTGACTTAACTTTGTTGGATTTTTCTGTCTGGATTACTGAGCGTGAATAAGGATAGAAACACTTTGGCCAGTATAGTGTAGTCACAATCAGTAGCACAAGGGAGCTCATATCCTCCAGTTTATTCTTGAAAGAGCGTTTTTCTGTAAATAATAATAGGGCGGTCTGTGCATGAATCCAGCAGTAAATCATGGTTGGATCAGGTTCCTCACAGAAGGATTTACAAAAAACATGGAAACTAAAAACTACGGATAACTATTTAACAGAACATCACTCCAAAACTTCCAAACCTCCTATTTAATTACAAAACAGAAAAAATATGTTCCTCCTTATTATTAATACTTTGTCTGAGTGGCCCCTAATTCTCTGCCATAATTCCATTTGTGTTGGAGCGAAATTAAAATGAGTATGAAAGCTGTGTTATGCAGCTCTGCTTTCAGTCTGTGCATTGAAAATGTCAGTGTTGTTTCTTCTCATAGTCCTCTGTCTGCACTGTCATTCATGGCTAAATTGCACATTTGCTTTTTTTAAATGTAGTTTTGATCAGTTTGTCTGTGATTGTATATGTCTGTTAAGCCATGCAACACTTGTTCCCACTGTCTTTTTTTCTTCTTTTATTGTTTTTCTGCAGCTTCTTCTGTGGCTCTCACTGTTGGTCTCAGTATGTAGATTATTATTTAAGCAGAATAAAGCATGTCATACCAACACACTAACAAGATGCTCTAAAACAGCTTGTCTGATGTTTATCTTGGCAATTCTCCATGTTTCAATGTGGTCCACTTTGTTGGTATGACATGTTTTGGTATTTTTCATTATTTTAGAAGAAAATGCATGTTTCTAGTTTTATTAATGTGGACAGCTGTGCATGCTATAGCCCCAAATCTCAAATAACTGGACACATTTTATTTGTGCCTCTAAAACCATAGCTCCTCAGCTGATCATTGACCCCATCCACTGTTTGCTCTTGCCATCAACTGAGAGCACCCGGTGCCTTGTTTCATTAGAAGAATGTCAACTTTTTCACAGTAAAAGTTTGTGGCTTCTTCTCTAATAGAATTGCTAATAAGTAAGCTAATTACAAATTCACATTAATCTTGTCTCATTAGTGCCTGTAAACGAATGTTGACTTTTATCTGAGCAACAGCCGACACTCAGCTACATGTTCAAGCTCCAGCTGAGGTAATAAATTATGTTTATAGAGCCCAACTGGGGGGAGCACCAGCAGACATTTAAAAACAGGAAGTTAATTTGCTCTTTAGTAAAAATCACTCAGGTAAATGTAGTTTTAAATAGTAGATGTGTAGTGACTAATGTTAGTTGAGAATCGTATGTGTGCTAACATTAGAAGCTAGCTTCCGAGCTCTGGTTTGAAATGATAACCACAAGATTTGTGTTTCTTTTTAGGCAAGTCAGCTTCCGTCTCACCTCCAAGCACTCCAAAGTCCCGCCTGACCAAACCCACTCGTTCCAACATAGGTAGAGCTGCAGATCCTACCATCACAACTAGCACAAAACCACACAGAAAATACCAGTTAAAATGCAAAATAAGAAAGAAAATACATCCTTGTTGTGATGGTTGCCCGGGCCTTTGTGTTTATTGGTTTAAAGCAAGTAATTAATCTTTTTTTTTTCAGGTTTTTAAAATTATTATTTTTTTAAATTACTATTAGCAAGATTTAATATCTTTGGTGTACCACAGGGAAATCAAGATCTATATCTCTCTGAAGCAGTGTGGCTGCAGAGAACAGGACAAATATGTCTAATTGTAAGTGATTGATTTGTTGGGCTCCAGCGCAGCCTGGTTACAGCAATTTATTGACCCAACAGTCACCTGAGATTTCCATAAATATTCAAAAGGGTAAACAGCAACACGGCTCGGGGAAAAGAAGCTGACGGACATCTTAGCTGAGAGGAATCTTTCCGGTGTGCGATGGTGTGAGCTCATACTGGGAGGGTAATATTTCCAGAATAAATAGATAAGTGGAACCTGATGAAGGCTCTTATTTTGAAATATTTTCCAGCCCTTTTTCCCCCCAAAGTTTTCTGACTTTGAAAGGGCGTCTTCCAGGGCACCTGCTCCCTGCTGGTTGAGCAGCTGCTCTATGCAGCGTTTAATAGCAGGCTGAGGAAATGTGACAAATCACAGCAGCCATCTCAGGGATATTTTTAGTTCAGTCTATACCAGACAAAATCATCACACATTTTCAGTGACTGGAATTACCATAGTCACCCACTAATCCATCAGTATTAGTGTGGGAGTGTCAGTGTAGTGGTTGATGTGGACAGCCCAGACACAGGTGTCTTTGTGAACCCAATTATCACTTGAGCTGGAGACAGAGTGAAAGATCTGCATGTGCTTGTCCTGCTGAAAGCAGGTGGGTTGTACTGCAGTGACCACCATAACAGGCTGCTGGTAAAACACGTTTTCCATGCTCATCATCCAGATCACTCATGAAATAAACACATTTCATTATATATGAGAATTAAAGGGATACATCATTTAATTTGTAGTCAGAGAAAGGTTAAGTGGAACATCAACCCTCCATGAAAATATGATTAATGAAGACACTCTTTATTACAAAGCCATGAAAAAAAATTATAAAGCAACTCAAACCATGGTGTCTACTGAAAACACTAATCCACCCTGTGTGTCTTTTTTTTTCTTCATTAAAATAAATTCCCAACATAAATAAAACTACTGAACTGACCAGAAAAGCATAATTCTACAATATTTCTAACGTTTAGGTATGGTTTTATGTCAAAACATCTTTTTTAACCTTCCTACTATGTTAGGGTCTGTAGTGACCCATTTTAAATTTTAAATCATGATACTGTCTTTTAAATAATTTTTTTTGCATCAAGGCTTTTTGACTTTGTCTGGAACCTTTATTTAAATTAAAAAAATATATATTTTTTTTCACTAAATTTAATTTTTATTTTTTATAGAACAACACGCACTTGCCGCGCTGGGGTCATTTGTGACCCAGTTATGGTATAAGACTATCAACCAATAATCAGTGTCAAAACTGAAATCATAAACACACTGTGACCTCACTAACTTTGTCATACATATGTTAGGGCCTTCTGTTTTTACCTGTTTGTCTACTTCACTGACCAAAACATCCCCATTTATCCGTACTACTTTTATTGATAAGTCCCTCATACTCTGCTCCCAAAAACTGA